CACTGAGCTGTTTAGGAAATGGCCTGGGGCGAGGTTCAGATTGCTGTGCCAGGTGATGAGCCAGCAGACGGCTGCTGCAGATGAAGCGACAGTAAAGCAGAGAACAGGATGTCTAAGAAACAACGTGCCCCCAAAACAAACACAACCCCTTCAGTGTCACCAGGCAGCCTTAATGGCGCAATTCTCCAACGGGAAGCAGGCTCAATAATTCTGGAAAAGAAAGGGAATGGGTAAGCAACTGGGAACATTGAACAAACTGATCGATTTTTTTCCTCCTGTTTAAAGTGAAATAAAATCGACCGTGTGATTGGTGATGCATCTGTTAGGATGTCACAGGTAAGGCAGGAATGCACTGTCTTTGCACTCAGCCTTTTACTCGTAGATCCCATACAGTGTGGAAGCAGGCCATTTGGCCCATCGGTTCACAGCATCCCCCCGAAGTGCATCCCACCCAGACCCACCCCCTTATCCTTGCATTTCCCTATGGCTAATGCACACAGCCTGCCCATCCCTGGACACTATGGACAATTTAGCACGGCCAATCCATCCTAACCTGCACATCTTTGGACTGTGGGATGAAACACCACGCAGACACGGGGAGAATGTGCAAACTCCACAGACAGTTGTCCCGAGGGTGGAATTGAACCCGGGTCCCTGGGAGATGTGAGGCAGCGGTGCTAACCTCTGAGCCACCCCAACTGGCTTGTTATCCCATATCTGACCATCTCCGGATGCATTTCCAGCTGGGGTATCATCTGCCCACAGTTTCTGAATGGCGACTGGGGAAGGGAAGCTGTCTTCAATCATAGCGTTACCCTCGGCAGTTGGGAGGCCGGAATGAGGCTGCATCCCTGATTCCAATTGCTATCCGGTGACCCCTGCTTGGAAAACATATTTGTCAGAACGTAAGGACGAGCTGAACCTTGGCAGTGATGCCCACTATGTTTGAATATTTTGGAAACATTTGTCACTAACGGTCTTTTTTTTTAAAAGAAATTCACTCAAGGGATGTGGGCATCACTGACTAGACCTTCCCTAATTGCCCAGAGGGCAGTTAAGAGCCAACCAACTTGCTGTGGGTCTGGAGTCACATGTAGGCCCAGATCAGGCTAGAATAACAGTTTCCTTCCCTAAAGGACATGAGTGAACCAGACAGGTTTTCCTGACAATCCATGGTCATCCTAATTCCAGATTTTTATTGGATTCAAATTCCACCATCTGCTGTGGTGGGGTTTGAACCCAGGTCCCCGAGAACATTAGCTGGGTCTCTGGATTAACAGTCCAGCGATAATACCACTAGGCCTTCGCCTCCCCCAGGAGGAGAGTCACTGGGGCAAGGAGAAGGCTTGTATTGCTTATTATTCTCATTTTCTGTCATTGTTTTACAGATCCAAGTCAGAGGAATTGGGAATGCTGTTGAAGTGATAGAGAGAAAGGTTGGCACATCATTTTTAACCACTGGACTCTTTGGTAATCTTTCACATTACTGGGATGCAAATCCTCGGCTGTTAGTTCTGTTGCTTGCTTGAATGAGTCATATATTTATTTTGCGTTTCTCTGTCACAGTCCATGGGCACGCTCTCCAGAGAATCCAATGACTGAGATCTGTAATGTTCTGTTGCAAACTGCCAATCTTCCTCAAACCACTTTGCAAAATCATCCCCTTCTTTTCCAACTGGCCTCCTCCTCCCTTTCTGCACAGGATGCCCTCCATTAACACATCCATGTAGCGCTGAGTTTAGACAGTGAGTACCTGAAAGGGTTTTCAATTGTAAACATTACCAGAGAGAAAGAAAGATCCGAGTTTGGCAGCAACTGTTACAATCTTCCCTTCCACCTCAAGGTCAGAAGTGGGGATGGTTGCTGGTAATTTTACCATCTCTGCAGGAGTTCCTCAGGGTAGTGTCCTAGGCCCAACCATCTTCAGTTGCTTCATCAATGACCTTCCCTCCATCATATGGTCAGAAGCAGGGAAGTTCGCTGATGTTCACACAATGTTCAGCTCCATTAGCGACTCCTCAGAATACTGAAGCAGTCCGTGTTCAAATGCAACAAGATCTGGCAATATCCAGGCTTGGGCTGACAAGTAGCAAAAAACATTCATGCCACACAAATGCCAGGCTATGACCATCTCCAATGTGAGACAATCTGACTTTCAGCCTGTGACATTCAATGGTGTTACTGTCACTGTAGTGCCCCCCCACCAAGTATCAACATCCTGGGGGTTACCATTGATCAGAAACTGAACTGGACCGAGCCACATAAACACAGCGGCTACAGGAGCAGGTCAGAGGCTGGGAATTCTGCAGCGAGTAACTCCCCTCCTGACTCCCCCCCAAAGCCTGTCCCACCATCGACAAGTCACAAGTCAGGAGTGT